AAGGCCAAAATATCCAGGTCCCAAGCCACTGGGTGTAGAGGTAAGCACTAGTTCCTTGACTGAATCCAGAAATAAATAGGTAATCAATGAAGATTGAACATGACTAGAGTTACATCCTGTGTAAGATAAACTCCAGGAAATAGCTGGAATGCATTTTCAACCAGTCAGCCATTTGGACCAAGTAGATTCATTTCAAACACAACCCATATAGAGGGCATTCTTGTAGCTGAGTCTGTAGGTGAACAAAACCATGACTCTTGTTCAGCAAGAAAGTCTCTTTATTAGAGATAAAAATGGGATGGATCATGAGTCTGTTGGGGGCACTTTACACATTCAATATTTTACCTCTGGTTTTGGTTTCTTTTTTCCATTTTATTTCTGGACCCAGCGTGCATTTAAAACTCTTTTGCGTTTGAAGAATGATGAAAGCTAAGTTGTCCCATCATCAAGCAAAACTGGTTTTATAATTGAGCCCCAATTAGGAATGAAAGATACATATTTAGCAGTGGCTAAGGATTGCTTTCTGCAGGTACCAACTACAGGTTAGAATGTAGGAGTAAATATGCCTTCAGATTTACTCTTCTAAATCAGGATTGATAATGCAATAACGTTTTAAAGATATGGGGTCTCTGCTGAGAAAACTAGACACCGGTGTATCTGTAGAGGGGGTTAAAAAGTCAACCTGGAGGCTGAAACAGTGAAATTGAAGACCCATCCCTTTTTTATATGCATTGTACATGCAATGCATGTGAAAAAGGGGGCAAGGCTTCTATTGCATAGTCATGGCCACCATCTTGAGTTTTTTGACACACATAGACACCTTTGTGGGATATCTTGTCCCAAACAGAGCCAAAGAATCCAACACAGATATGAATGCTTGAAGGTGCATAGAGAGTTTAGTATCATCCCAAATGTTTAGGGCTTTGAAGACTCCAAACAGTTCCTTGTATGGGCTCCCAAAAGAAATAGGCACCCAACATAAATAATACAGAACAGTGTAATATGATTTGAACATTTAATATTCATTTTGTACCAGTTTGCAGTTTTGCAGTTTCCAAAACATTTCCAAGGGCAGCCTACTTTGAGTGCATTACAGTAATTTAATCTAGACAGAACCAAATTAGGGGTCACTTGGAGGTCCCGAACTAGCCCAAGCTAGTAAAAGGATCCTGGCAACTAGTAATAGTTATATTTCCAAAGTAGTGCAGAATTCAAAAAGGTTTCTGCACTGTGTAACTGATCCTTTGATGAGGGCAGGGGTTAGGGGTTAAACTATATATAGAAGCTTCCTTCTATCCAACTCCCATTTTATCCAAATAAAATTAATTAGTTCTAAATGATCCTAGGATTGGCTCCAAACACTTATCTAAATATTTTGGTGATCTATAAATAGAAACAGAGAGATACTACATTATGAATATATTTTATAATGAATCACATGCCTTTTGAAAGAGGTTGTAGCAAACCCTGTTTCCTTGTACTCTTCTAAACTCCTTGAATCCCTGAACAGAATATGCAGTTTCAAAAGTCTTAACTGCTTGCTGAGTTAATAAGTAGTTTAGTTTGAAAGTTTTGACAATGTCTTTCCACCAATGTCACTTCTTCCCTCGGTTTCACTTCAGTTTTACGTTGACCATTCCCTGTAATTTTGAGTTTGCTAAATCAGGTTATTTTACTGTATGAAGTTCCAGTATTGTTTGTTCTTTCATGGAGCTGTCATGGATGGCAAGTTGCAAACAATACTATGTAATCACACACAGTTAGTAGTTTCTATTCTCTGTGTTATACCTAGGAAACTACAAACATCTCTTGGAGAAGAATTAACACTTTTGGGAATTCTGTCTGAAGAACTTCAACATAGTCATGGAGCTGAGTCATCTAGTTCTAATATAAAAGTGATTTTGTTTAGGAATGATTCATTCAAGTCCCTTTGAGAGCCACTGAAGTCATTGAAAAAAAGTCTCCGTACATCCTTTGTTTTCTACTGAAACTCCTGGGGCATAAATGGAGTTAACTCTGGTTCACCTATGAATGCTCACTCTTATCCAAAAGAGAGAATGTATACTGTACGAAATAGGGAACAAGGTAGCTAAAATTAAGGAGGCAGAAAATGTTTGCTATAGAAGCGAATATGTGTAGCTCAGGGTTGAACTGTGGAGTCCTTGGGGTTCTCTGAGC